GCTTAGTTCTTTGTTGGTAATGTAATATGTGTTCTAGCATGACCAGTTGGATGGCCTCTACCCCAGCTTGTTGATCTCAGCAATACAAACATCCAGGCTGCCCAGGCATACCAGTACACAGGAAGCAAATGTCTCACTGGGAGCAGTCACTGGTAAAAAAACTCACTCAAGTGCCACTTTGTTATCATTACTGAGCACTGTTGGAATGTTCAGTGCTATAAAAACATAGGGAAAATATAATCCCCTGCCCCGAGGAGTTTACAGTCTACACCAACCTATTTGAAGTGTAAGCTTCAGTCACTCTGCTATGATTGATTGATTGGCGATCCCTCGATTAGACAAGGATCTCTACCATGGGAACCTGGGTGACAGTGACCATGAGATGGTTGAGTTCAGGATCCTGACATAAGGAAGAAGAGAGCAGCAGAATACAGAGCCTGGACTTCAGAAAAGCAGACTTTGACTCCCTCAGGGAACTGATGGGCTGGATCCCCTGGGAGAATAACATGAGGGAGAAAGGAGTCCAGGAAAGCTGGCTGTATTTTAAAGAATCCTTATTGAGTTTACAGGAACAAATAAGGATAAGTGCAGGGTCCTGCACTTAGGACGGAAGAACCCAATGCACAGCTACAGACTAGGGACCGAATGGCTAGGCAGCAGTTCTGCGGAAAAGGACCTAGGGGTGACAGTGGACGAGAAGCTGGATATGAGTCAGCAGTGTGCCCTTGTTGCCAAGAAGGCCAATGGCATTTTGGGATGTATAAGTAGGGGCATAGCGAGCAGATCGAGGGACGTGATCGTTCCCCTCTATTCGACATTAGTGAGGCCTCATCTGGAGTACTGTGTCCAGTTTTGGGCCCCACACTTCAAGAAGGATGTGGATAAATTGGAGAGAGTCCAGCGAAGGGCAACAAAAATGATTAGGGGTCTGGAACACATGAGTTATGAGGAGAGGCTGAGGGAGCTGGGATTGTTTAGCCTGCAGAAGAGAAGAATGAGGGGGGATTTGATAGCTGCTTTCAACTACCTGAAAGGGGGTTCCAAAGAGGATGGCTCTAGACTGTTCTCAATGGTATCAGATGACAGAACGAGGAGTAATGGTCTCAAGTTGCAGTGGGGGAGGTTTAGATTGGATATTAGGAAAAACTTTTTCACTAAGAGGGTGGTGAAACACTGGAATGCGTTACCTAGGGAGGTGGTAGAATCTCCTTCCTTAGAGGTTTTTAAGGTCAGGCTTGACAAAGCCCTGGCTGGGATGATTTAACTGGGAATTGGTCCTGCTTCGAGCAGGGGGTTGGACTAGATGACCTTCTGGGGTCCCTTCCAACCCTTATATTCTATGATTCTATGAAACCATCCCAATGTGTAGAAAGAATAGTAAATATGGTAGGCGACCAGCTTGGCTTAACAGTGAAATCCTTGCTGATCTTCAACACAAAAAAGAAGCTTACAAGAAGTGGAAGCTTAGACAAGTGACCAGGGAGGAGTATAAAAATATTGCTCAGGCATGCAAGAGTGAAATCGGGAAGGCCAAATCACACCTGGAGTTGCAGCTAGCAAGAGATGTTAAGAAAACAAGAAGGGTTTCTTCAGGTATGTTAGCAACAAGAAGGTGGTCAGGGAAAGTGTGGGCCCCTTACTGAATGGGGGAGGCAACATAGTGACAGAGGATTGAGGATTGAGGTTCTTTCCCAACTGTCAGGTCTCTGAGGTACTGAAACTCTTGCGGTACGGTTGGCTCACTCAGTGTTGCAGAGGAGCATCCATGGTACGTTGTTGGTACCGATGGTTGTGAAGTTGCAGAGCATTCCCTAGATGAGAGCTTTGTCACACTCAATACCAAAGATTTTCTTGGTGCCATTCCTTTAGAGGTGCTACGCTATTTGTCTTTGTCCTTAGGGGCAATACCACTGCCTCAGAGCCTGAGACCTTGGTGTCTCTACGTGGTGTGGCAGAGCATATAGCGGAGGCACCCTTATGCTTCTGGGTACTACATATGGGAGCCACCAGTGGTGCCGTTACCAAGGTGGCTGATTGCACTCTCTGGCTGGCCAACGGCTCAGCTGGGGGGCTTGAAGCCCTTTTTCTCAAGCCTTTATGGGGGGAATCTGCTGGTCTTTTCTGCAACTCTACCCCCTTTGAAGTTGAAGGCTCCCAGGATGATCTGGGGTTGGCAACGAAGTCCCCTGGAGGCTGAAGTGCCTTCTTCATAAGGAGGAGTCTTAACTTCAGCTCCCGGTTCTTGCGAGACCTTGGCTTTAGCTGGTGGCAGAGGGAGCACTTCTGAGGGATATGGGACTCTCCCAGGCATTGGACTCAGTGAGAGAGTCTGTCCATTGCAGGAATCAACTCCTTGCAGGAGAAGACCTCTTGAAGCTGGGGGAGATGGGCATGACTTGGGGGCTGGGGGCGGGCTATCACCCAGTATCAATGAGAAATGCAGAAGAAAGCTTTTCTTTTCTTTTCTTAAACTGAAAGAACTTAGTCTTTGTCTACACTACATAGTTTTGTCGGAAAAAGGCAGCTTTTGTCGACAAAACAGTGGAGGTGTACACACTACAATGCTCCTCCCACTGACAAAAGTCTCCTGCTTTGCCAACAAATAAAACCACCTTGACGAGAGGCGTAGAGCTTTTTGCATCAAAGTTAGATTGATAAACCGTCAGTGTAGACACTGTGTTCATTACGTTGCCATAACTGGCCTCTAGGGGGTAACCCACAATGCCCACTGTGACCACTCTGCTCAGTGTTTTGAACTCCACTGCCCTGCATCCAGCTAAACAGGCATACACCCTTCCCCTTTCAAAGCCCTAGGAAGTTTTTGAAATTCCCCAGTGTGGAGAGCTCACATAGCTATTGCCCAGCTGAGCATGGCAGTTTCTGGCCTGGTCTAGAGGGGAAGGGGTGGATCTCCTTGCTCTGTGGGGAGAGGAGAACTTGGAGGCAATCACGGAATCATGGGTGGTGGGTGAATGCACCATTGTGGGAGACTAGGCCCCATCCCCTCCCCCTCTGCCCGAGGCCAGACCCCTCCCCTTTTACCCCTTTTCCCAGCTGGAGCCCAGAGCATACAACCTTCCCTCCCCCCACCACCCCTGCGCAGCTGCTGGCCTCCCCACGTGCCCCCCAGCCCCAGAGCCCTGGGGAGAGGGGCTCCGTCTTCCCACTCTGCTGGATACGGATTTCTGAACCGGAGGGCTCTCCCGGGAACCGCAGCAGCAAAAGCAGCAGAACGTGGGGCCGCCCTCCAGTGTAGCTGTACTGCCCCGCTCCGCAGCCCCAGCCCTTCCATGCAGTTGCGGCTCCTCTTTCCTGTCTGGGGTCTGTATAGCTCTGCCGGAGGACTGGGCTGGGGGCGGGGTTGGGGGCCGCCTGATGGCCTCAGGTTCTGTTCCTTTCGCGGCTGCAGTTCCCAGAGTAAATCCAACAGACTCACTCTGGACTGGAACTATTATAACAGCAACATTGAGGCAAAGATGACCATGAAAGGAAAAGAAAGCACAGAAAATTGAGAAGACCAGAAAATCCAGGAAAAGAAAAGGTCACAGTATAGAGCAAAGGAACAGCAAGACATAAGGTTGGACCTCTGTTTAAAGAGTGTTTTTTGCATAGCTGGCCCTGGGAAAATAGAGTAGAAAATACAGTAAAGTAGCCCAAACTGGAAGAAAACAGTAAATCGGTTAGATAGGAAAATGGGTGGGGGAGCTAATATTTAAGTTTTAGCAGTAATTATGAACAGTCTATTTGATCTTTTCTATTATGAATTTATATTTTGACACCATATGTGTAAATGTTGTATACTAACACTCAGAGCATGGGTCAGAACCTTTTTTAAAAAAATAAATAGTAAGAAATAACAATAAATAAATAAATACAACAATTGCAAAGCACAATTAATAATTGGTGAACTTCAACAGATTTCTGCTCTACAGGAAAAAATACCATAGATTTGGCCACCTGATTATAGTTTCTAGCAGGCAACTGTCCACATCACCATATCCATTACCCACCTGGCACTTCCTACTAGTGAGAGCAGCCAGAGAAGCTAAAATCTGGATGGGAGAAGAGTCTGAACTACCTCTCATACTGAAAGGTAGTCCCTTCCTGATCACGGCGGAAGTACAAGGGCAGATAATAATGTGAGGAAGAACGAATGGCACAGACTCTAGGAAAGGCTGTTTTCATGGTGTTTCCAGCCTGACCTGAAACAGCATGTACTGAAAATCTCACAATAAAGCCTCTTCTTGCAAGACTTGTCAGCATTTTTTTTTAAATAAGAGTGGGTTAGAATAGCTTTAGAGAAGCATCTTGGGCTCGTAACTACCTGGGAATTGAACCTTCACATTTTTGGGGGAACTTTGCTTACACTAATCAAAATCAAAACAAAATAATAAATGACACATAATGCTTTCCACTTTTACAGCATTTTTCATCTCAGGGTCTCAGAACACTGTACAAACATTAAAGGAACAACATTAACAAATTACATCCTCCCCTAAAGAAGAGCTTGGTTTAAGCTTGAAGTCCAATAAAAGATATTACTTCACCCACATTGTCTCGCTAATCCCCCTAAGAGGCAGGGAAGAGTTGTGCTCTCCATTTTTAGGAGGGGAGAAACTAACAAAGAAGTTAAATGATTTCCCCAAATCACCGATATCTGGGAATAGAATTTAACTCTCCTGTGTCTTAATCTCATGCTTTAAACCCATAGAGTTATCCTTCCTATATGTGTTCCCATTCACTAAAACAAATGTAACAGCTAACCATGACAAACATAGTAATGTATACTAGCAACAGTGGGAACATTTTACAAGCAACCTGCTTCTTATTAATCAAAATGAAATATGAAAAAAATTATATAAACTCTAGCCTAAGCTATTAAAATGAAGAAACTATTTTTTTTCAAAAAAGACAAACTATTTTTACATAATTGTTTTATAGGCATTAAAAATATTATGATGCAAATAGTATTAGGAGGTTTTCTTTAAAATGGTCCTTACCTTGAAAGCCATTCTCAAATTTGGATCCATTTGGTAAGAGTTCAGGAGTGTATTCAATGTAACCGCCGACATAAAATTGACTGAAGACATTGAGCCCAACCAACCTTCCTGGGGATGTGACGGATTTATTCTTATGATCATCCACCTTTCAATGAAAACATTTACACTACTTATAACAAAGGAAATGGTTCCTAATGGGCATGTTTCAGCAAGAGATTTCCCTTTGCTTCCCAATTATCTTAATAAAGAAACATATGAATAAAATAATTTTTAAAACTTTTCTTTTCCTGTAGCTATTTAACAGTTTCTTTTGATGACACATTTATAGGTATGGTAAAGATCACATAGTCCTTCAGGGAAAACCACTTTCAGTTCGATAGCTGTCTCTCAGAAAAAGGTACGATCCCTTACCTTCAGCCAGCCTGCTCGGAGAGATCTGCCAAGATGGATCACATGAATACTGAGTGTCAGATCGAGTGGCTGACTAATGAGAGTGGCCGTGCCAGAGCCCAGGTTGTAGCTGTATACAACACTGCCATTACGCAGGCCTAGCACCAGGAAATCATCTCCATTGAGACCTGCAAAGACAAGAACAGCGTGGTTATATTACGCAAAGATTTTCTGAATCCTGAGGGGGGAATTTGGAATCCCTGTGATTTCTGGCTATGAAGCAGGGTTGTAATCAGTGTGCTGCAACACCAGAAATCCGTCACAACTAAAATCTTGCTTAGGAAACACAAAAAAGGCAGATGAGCTTGGCTATGATGCTCATGAATGATGAAGCTTAAGTTACGCATATCTCATGACTGTATTATCATGACAATCATTATAATAAATACACATAGTTGTTAAATGCAGACAAAGGAACACAAAACATTTTCCTTCCAAATTAATTGAAAATATATCGTGCAGGAAGATGTATCCAGAAAAATTGAACTTTTATTTTATTTTTTTTAAAATCATCTAATCAACTGTTAATGCTTTTTCCAGTAGTGTTTTGGCACTTTATAGTAGAAATAGCAAAGTTTCTTAAACCTCTTTAAAGCCTTTTAAAAGGAAACATTTTCCACCTTAAGGGTGGTCTGGTAAAGCCTACAAACCCTGCTAAATCTGGCAGATTTAATAGTCATTGTTGCTGGTTCACTAAACCTGCAACAAAGAGTGAATTCCCCAGTTTCCTTAAACTCTAAATCAGAGATTGGCAATCTCTGGCACACGGCCCATAAGGGAAATCCAAGGCAGGCCGGGACGGTTTGTTTACCTGCAGCATCTGCAGGTTCGGCCGATCACAGCTCAGACTGGCCTTGTTTGACGGTCCAGGCCAATGGGGGCTGCGGGAAGCAGGGTGGGCTGAGGGATGTGCTGGCTGCCACTCCCGCAGCCCCCATTGGCCTGGAATGGCTAACTGTGGCCAGTGGAAGCTGTGATCAGCCGAACCTGCGGACGCTGCAGGTAAACAAATTGTCCCAGCCTACCAACAGATTTCCCTGATGAGCCGTGTGCCAAAGGTTTCCGATCCCTGCTCTAAATCGTATTTGAACAAGAAGTATGAAACTTAAAGGTCTGTCTGCAGGGAGCAACAGCCCCCTGATTTGACTCAGGTGCTACTGCAGGTCTCTTATGTGCACTTTCCCTTACAAATGAAAACAAACTAAATGCTCTACCTCTGTCTCTGACTCATTTGTTATGCATTTTTAGTATAAAGTCATAAATGCAGACAAAGTAAAATTTTGAAGGAGAAAGTAGTTAAGGACATTGAGATCAATGGTAAATGGGACAAAACACAACATGGTTTTACAAAAGGTAGATCGTGCCAAACCAACCTGATCTCCTTCTTTGAGAAAGTAACAGATTTTTTAGACAAAGGAAACACAGTGGATCTAATTTACCTCAATTTCAGTAAGGCATTTGATATGGTTCCACATGGAGAATTATTAGTTAAATTGGAAAAGGTGGGGATCAATATGAAAATTGAAAGGTGGATAAGGAATTGGTTAACAGGGAGACTACAACGGGTCCTTCTGAAAGGTGAACTGTCAGGCTGGAGGGAAGTTACCAGTGGAGTTCCTCAGGGATCAGTTTTGGGACCAATCTTATTTAATCTTTTTATTACTGACCTCAGCACAAAAAGTGGGAGTGTGCTAATAAAGATTGTGGATGATACAAAGCTGGGAGATATTGCCAATTTAGAGAGAGACTGGGATATCATACAGGAAGATTTGGATGACCTTGTAAACTGGAGTAAGAGGATAAAATTTAATAGTGAGAAGTGTAAGGTTATACATTTTGGGATTAATTACAAGAATTTTAGTTATAAGCTGGGGACGCATCAGTTAGAAGTAACGGAGGAGGAAAAGGACCTTGGAGTATTGGTTGATCATAGGATGACTATGAGCCGCCAATGTGATATGGCTGTGAAAAAAGCTAATGCGGTCTTGGGATGCATCAGGCGAGGTATTTCCAGTAGACATAAGGAGGTTTTAGTACCGTTATACAAGGCACTGGTGAGACCTCACCTGGAATATGTGTGCAGTTCTGGTCGCCCATGTTTAAGAAGGATGAATTCAAACTGGAACAGGTACAGAGAAGGGCTACTAGGACTATCTGAGGAATGGAAAACCTGTCTTATGAAAGGAGACTCAAGGAGCGTGGCTTGTTTAGCCTAACTAAAAGAAGGTTGAGGGGAGATATGATTGCTCTCTATAAATATATCAGAGGGATAAATACCAGAGAGGGAGAGGAATTATTTAAGCTCAGTACCAATGTGTACACAAGAACAAATGGATATAAACTGGTCAATGGGAAGTTTAGACTTGAAATTAGATGAAGGTTTCTAGCCATCAGAGGAGTGAAGTTTTGGAATAGCCTTCCAAGGGAAGCAGTGGGGGCAAAAGACCTATCTGGCTTTAAGATTAGACTCGATAAGTTTATGGAGGAGATGGTATGATGGGATAACATGATTTTGGCAATTAATTGATCTTTAAATATTCATGGTAATGAATGGCCCAATGGCCTGTGATGGGATGTTAAATGGGGTCGGATGTGAGTTACTACAGAAAATTCTTTCCTGGGTATCTGGCTGGTGAATCTTGCCCATATGCTCAGGGTTTAGCTGATCGCCATATTTGGGGTCGGGAAGAAATTTTCCACCAGGGCAGATTGGAAGAGGCCCTGGAGGTTTTTCGCTTTCCTCTGTAGCATGGGGCACGGGTCACTTGCTGGAGGATTCTCTGCTCCTTGAAGTCTTTAAACCACGATTTGAGGACTTCGATAGCTCAGACATAGGTGAGAGGTTTTTCGCAGGAGTGGGTGGGTGAGATTCTGTGGCCTGCATTGTGCAGGAGGTCAGACTAGATGATCATAATGGTCCCTTCTGACCTTAATATCTATGAATCTAAGTATATGCTTAGCATATAACTCACATAACACAAGTAGGTCTCAATAACGGCCCCAAATCTTCAGCCTAAGTAATTGGACTATGTACTAGAGAACTGTGAGGAGGCAGGAGTGCGGCCTCCAAGGATCACAGTAGAATACAGAACCAACTTGTCTCTTTCCAGCACATCCCCCCCGTACATAAACTTGCAGAAATAAACCCCTGGGGTATTCAGACAGTACAGAGGAAGGATGATCTTGTAGTGAAGGTGCTGGATTGATTCTCAGGAGGAACTGATCACAGAACTAAAAGTTAATGGTACAGCTTAGGTACAGAAGATCATGATTTGATGACATTTATAATGTGCAAACAGAATAAAGTCCAGACCAGTAATATATATAACTTGGTTCTTTAATAAAGGCAGTTTCACAAAGGAATTATGAGCCAAATCAGATGGGAGGAGAATTTAATTAAAAAAAATGTGAAGGATAGTTGGAATAATTTAAGAACAGACTACTATTGCCCAAAATGTCACAATCCCACAATTGAGGAAAAAAATACAACTTGGTTTAGAGGGGAAGTGGAGGCAACTGTAAAATATAAATTAAAAGGAAAGATGGTAGTAATGACTAAAAATCAGAAATTAAGAATTGTAAAAAATGATAAAAAAAGGAAGGGGACACAAAGAGAAATCTAAGGCAAGCAGAGTCAAGGACAATAAGAAAGAGCTTTAAAAATATAATAGGAACAAAAGGAATACTGACAATGGTATTGGTTGAGTGCTAGATGGAAATGGCAGAAAGATCAATAATAATATAGAAAGGAAGACGGGTTCAATAAATATTTCTGTTCTATACTTGAGGAAAAACAGATGAAGCAATCTCATCAAATGGTGATGATAACACTCTTTCCAGCCCACTTGTAGCTTTGGAGGATGTTAAACAGAAGCTAATAAAGTTCTCGATTTTAAAATCAGCAGGCCAAGATAACTTTGCATCCAAGAGTTTTAAAAGAGCTGGCCGAAGGAGCCTGCTGGACCATTAATGCTGATTTTTCAATAAGGGATGTTCCAGAAGACTGGAAGAAAGCTAATGTTGTGCCAGTTTTTTAAAAGGGTAAACAGGATGACCCAAGTAAGGATAGGCCTGAAAGTCTGACATCAATGCATGGCAAGATAATGAAGTGGCTGATAAAGGACTTAATTAATAATGAATTAAAGAAGGGTAAAATAGTTAATGCTAATAAATATGGGTTTATGGAAAATAGATCATGTCAGACTAACTTGATAACTTTTTTTTATGAGATTAGAAGTCAATAAAGGTAATAGTATTGATGTAGTATACCAAGACTCCTGTAAGGAGTTTGACTTGGTGCTGCGTGACATTTTGATTAAAAAGCTAGAATGACACAAAATTAACATGGCACACATTAAATGGATTAAAACTGGCTAACTGATTGGTCTCAAAATGTAACTGTAAATGGGAAATTGTCATTGAGCAGGTCTGTTTGCAGTGTGTTCCCGCAGCAATCGGTTCTTGGCCCTATGCTATTTAACATCTTTATCAATGACCTGAAAGAAAACATAAAATCATCATTGATAGTTTTCAGATGACAAAAAAGTTAGGGAAGTGGTAAATAATGAAGTGGACAGGTCACTGATTCAGAGTGATCTACATTGCTTGGTAAACTGGGAGCAAGCAAGCAAACAACATGCATTTTAATACGGCTAAATATAAAGATTTGGGGATTGTGCTGGATAATCAGCTGAATATGAGCTCCCAGTGTGATGCCATCACTAGAAGAGTTAATACAATCCTGGGATGCATAAACAGGGGAATATCGAGTAGGAGTAGGGAGGTTATTTTATCTCTGTATTTGGCAAGTGTGCTGCTGAAATACCATGTCCAGTTCTGGTGCCCACAATTCAAAAAGGATGTTGATCATTTGGGTTCAGAAAAGAGTCATGAGAATGATTAAGGATTAGAAAACATGCCTTTAGTGATAGACTCAAGGAACTCAAACATTTAGTTTAACAAAGAGAAGATTATGGGGTGACTTGATTACAGTACCCACACAGGGAACAAATATTTAATAATGGGGTCCTCAGTCTAGCAGAGGAAGGTATGATATTATCCGATGGCTGGAAGTTGAAGCTAGACAAATTCAGACTGGAAATAAGGCATACATTTTTAATTATCAGAG